CAGCGTTTGTGAGTTGTATGTGTCAGATCACAGCGTTTGTGAGTTGTATGTGTCAGATCACAGCATTTGTGAGTTGTATGTGTCAGATCAGTGTTTGTGAGTTGTATGTGTCAGATCACAGCGTTTGTGAGTTGTGCATGTCAGATCACAGCGTTTGTGAGTTGTGCATGTCAGATCACAGCGTTTGTGAGTTGTGCATGTCAGATCACAGCATTTGTGAGTTGTACCTGTCAGATCACAGCGTTTGTGAGTTGTGCATGTCAGATCACAGTGTTTGTGAGTTGTATGTGTCAGATTACAGCATTTGTGAGTTGTACATGTCAGATCACAGCATTTGTGAGTTGTGCATGTCAGATCACAGTGTTTGTGAGTTGTATGTGTCAGATCACAGCATTTGTGAGTTGTATGTGTCAGATCACAGCATTTGTGAGTTGTATGTGTCAGATTACAGCATTTGTGAGTTGTACATGTCAGATCACAGTGTTTGTGAGTTGTACCTGTCAGATCACAGCATTTGTGAGTTGTGTGTGTCAGATCACAGCTCTTGTGAGTTGTACATGTCAGATAACACCGTTAGTGAGTTGTACGTGTAAGAACCCAAGTGACTCAGGAAAGTAAAGGATGACAATTATTATGTATGTACACAACAGCAAAAAAATGTAAAGAGATAGAACAAAATTATTGAATAAATCGGGTAGGTATGGCAAGTTGGGGTCTCAATTGCTATGTACTTGACAGCAAGGAGATGTAGAGTTATAGAAAAAACTAATTAAGCATCACCCACCTTTTTCATGTAAAAAATTGAGAGCTAATGAGATTTCTGATGCGTAAAATCTGGCATGTTCTTCTGGGAGTCTTCTTTGTCGTTGCATGTGGAACATCAAGTCACCGCCATTCACAAACTCTATCACAAAGAATAACCTGTAATGGAGAATAATCTATATGAATACTAGAGCATAACAATATCAAGAAAAGATGTCAAAAACAATTGAGTGCTTCAAAACCCTCACATTAAAGTCAAAATGCAGTGTTTTTCGATGGCAGTATATTAGCATTTATGACAGCATGATGTCAATGTTTCCGCCATATTTTATTATTCCGACTCTGTAAGTTAGATTCTGAAGCTTTTATTTTACTATTACCGGCCCACAGTAATTTAAGGCATCAACCTGGAGAAAAAATGAGTTAAAATTTATCTGTGATTCAGACATTCTCTAAAAGCTACTAAACATGCTAATACAACTTGTATCTGCCTTAGTTTTTTTAGCTATGGACAAACAACTACAGACATGCAACCAACAACCAATTATCGGAAGTATGTCTGTCATTATTTGGTCCAGTTTTAACTTGTTTTTTCAATGTTGCTACCATAAGTCAGCAGTGCTTTAATCTACTTATATTTTCTGATCTGTAGACATAATATATGCCATACATTACTGGTTCAGAAATATATTAATTAAAAATAAAATAAAAACAACTTTCCTGAGAATGAACTAACCTGCTAGGTGTTTGGAAGCACGAATGCAACCCCACTAAAAATGGATGGTTAGATGCAGTCTCAAATACATGCTTTTCTGTCTGTACCCAGTCTATGTCCTGAAACACATAAAACATTATAGGTCAAATTAGGTATTATGGTCACTTCATGTTCATATCATGATCACATCATGTTCATGTCATGATCACTTCATGTTCATGTCATGATCACTTCATGTTCGTGTCATGATCACTCCAATGTTCGTGTCATGATCACTTCAATGTTCATGTCATGATCATGTTCATATCATGATCACTTCATGTTCATGTCATGATCACGTCATGTTCATCACATGATCACATCATGTTCATGTCGTGATAACTTCATGTTTACCACATGATCAATTCATGTTCATCACATGATCACTTCATGTTCATGTCATGATCACATCATGTTCATGTCATGATCACTTCATGTTCATGTCATGATCATTTCATGTTCACCACATGATCACTTCATGTTCATATCATGATCACTTCATGATCACTTCATGTTCATATCATGATCACTTCATGTTTTTCACAGGATCACTTCATGCTCATGTCATGATCACATCATATTCATGTCATGATCACTTCATGTTCACCACATGATCACTTTATGTTCATCACATGATCTCTTTATGTTCATCATAATTTTTTGTTAATTTGGATCAAATGGTCACAATTTCCCATCAGTATTGAAACAGTTACTGTCAGAGCAACTTATCTTGCAAGTACAAATACTTGGGTGTATTGTTTGAAAAGAACCTACCTCATCATCAGTGACTAACTCTTTTTTAATAACTTTCATTGCATAGATGCGTTTAGTTTTCTTCAATTCTACCATCAGTACCTTGGCATAACTACCACGTCCAATAACACGAATCAAGTCAAAATCACGCAGCGAGTACTGTCCTCCTAAACCAGCAGTAGCCTGTCACAAAAAATAAATTATTTGAATCACTTACAGAAGATGCACTATTAAAAACAAAAATTTTGTCCACACTAGTTTGATTTTATATTTATTTTGTTAATTTTATTGATCTTTGCATGATTGTAGCCATGGTTACCAAACTAATTAATTATGTGCAAGTTTTACTGGATGCCCACTAATTAAATATGTGCATATTGTATATAGATTTGCATACAAATTATTACCTCTCATCACACATTAAGATAGCAGGTGAACAACAGATTATAACATGTCAGTTCACCAAAAATAAAGACATAATTATGATACTAGAAAGACTATGGTTTTAAATTCCTGTCTCATTCAATCATACCTGCATTTCTAACTTAACAGATGATAAAATCAGATCACAAGTTATCTAAGACACAGACAGGACATGAAATTGATTGTAATGATCTAGGATGCCAGCTGGATGACAGACATAGGAAGTGAAGTGGACAGCAATGGCATTCCCTTTGCATTTATATGCAAATTAGAAACAACATCCTCTGGAGACAGCTATTGTAATTTGCATATTAGTAATGATGTCATCAATGTGTAAGCCAATCATGATGTTCTTATTTTCAGGTTTGTATGGAAAAGGTTAACAAACTATAAAGTTCAGTCTATACAGGTGGGATTATCATCATTAATTTCATATCCACACACTTTGTTGTTTTTGTTATATTTTTATGTATAAATACCGGGTATATCTACATTGTCATCTTTCAACTGAGTATTCAGGTTTTCCAGCAGTTTTTTATTATTTTTTAAAAATATTTTTGTGCCAAGACACATACCGCCTTGTTAACAAAGTGGCCCAAGTTCAAGATGGTCTTGATTTTTTGACACTTTTCCTTATCCATATTAATGATATGTGCATAACTGTTTTTTCTAAAAGATCTAAATTATTTTAATTATATGGTGATTAGCATTTCAAATAAATGTGCTTCCTTTCATGACTGGTCTATAGAAACACTGTAACCTAGTCAACATGGTACACTGCAGAAATTGATGAATGAGTAGATGAAATGTAATGATACAAGTCACTTTCAGGATTTGACTTAGAAATATAGATAATCTCTTTTTTAGTTCCTAATCCCTGCTGGTAATCATAAGCCAGGCAGATCAACTTCAACTATTGAAGAACTGAATGAAAACAAGTATATACCAACCTCTCTACCAGCACCTGATGAATACTGGTTCAATGTCAGATCTCTCTCATGCTTGTTTTTCCTTCTGGGAGCTGGACTGTTACTTTTTGCTGTCAAATAAACAAAGTACAAAATTAAATTCTCAAGTACCCCCCCGCCAAGGTCAACAGAGCAAATACTATGTTCAATACATTGGTATTCCAATGCATGTATGCTGCCCTGAGCCCTTACATGCCTCTCAACACTTATTCCTATAGGAAATATGATAAACAAATAATACAGTGTCTCATGAAGGAGGTGATGATGAGATTCCCAGCCATCCTAACCCTTCCTCAACTATTATTTAGCATTACCAAACCCTTCATCAAAATATCCTTGAAATTAGGTAATTTAAGGGGAAAAACACCAGGAGAATAAAAAAAAAACTATTCAAGTCAATTCTGCAAAACATTTGAAAGTTATACATGTAGATACAATGGATGTATGGACAGAATATCATGTGTGACATGCTAAGACATCCAATATATGTCCTCATGACATGATTAGCTGTCCATGTCATGATCACTTCATGTTCATGTCATGATCACTTCATGTTCATGTTCATGTCATGATCACTTCATGTTCATGTCATGATCACTTCATGTTCATGTCATGATCACTTCATGTTCATGTCATGATTACTTCATGTTCATGTCATGATCACTTCATGTTCATGTCAC